GGCAAAGGAGAAAAAATCAAAGAAACATTGTAAATTGATGTAGTTTTCTCAAATGAATTTTATTATTTAAGGACTATCCTTTACTATATCAAACGCATAGTTGAGCTAAATAGTAAACAGAGAAATATCATTTGTCTGAAGAAAAATGCATCATCTTTGTTTTAAGTAACATTAGTTATTTATTCTAAATTAAAACTGTATTTGTTTTACCGGAATAGCTCGTAAATGACAACAGAGAACTTTTTGTTTGAGGAGTAATAAATTAATTCAACATAAGTCAGTGAGAAGTGGTAAATTGAATGTTAAACTGATTATTTCTTAGATATTTGGACATATTATCTGGTTAAATAATACATGTCGAGTTAACTCTAAAAAAAACTGAAATTTGATTACTTTCTTGAAACTTTAGTTGTTTCCAGTCCTGTTTCTTTTACAATACTGATTAGTTGTATGAAAATAAAACATATTCACTTAACTTATGTAAATTATACTATATTGGAGTAAAATCGATCGATAATTTCAATATCTAAATTTACTTATAATTATTTTATGGTAAGTTATTTTTATTCCTTCAGCACAATAAATAGACAGATGATTTGTAATAGTATTATATATAAAACCAGTCATATGCTTACAGTGTTTCTGGAGAATATTCAAGCTATTATTATATATAGAATAGAGTTCTTTTAAAGGTATGTTTTATTTCTGTTAATAGATGCCGCCACTTTATTGTATTAACTTTATTCTGTTTAATAATGGCTGGAGACGGCTTGAATGGGTAATGAAGAAAAACTTCATATATAATATGACAGCAATATAACTACAATATAACAGCAAATGTACAACGTTTCGACAAGTTTTTGTCATCTCGAATGTAAGATACCTTAACCTTTGTAATATCTTCTTTATGTTGATTCTCGTTTTATAACACAAAGCAAGTGTTATTATTTCATAACACAATATTATATCATTAATTCGTCTTCCCTGAAGTGGATTCCAAACAGCTCAAATGTCAAGAGAATTTCGTAATGTTATTGAAACAAAATAATTGTTCATAGGGTCATCTAATTGAAGAAACTCTGGTCAGCAAGTCCACAAAATTAGCAAGTGATTTAACATTACTTGTACACTGCTTTTCCTCCTTATTTACCTTTCATTCGAACTTTAAGATTGTCACTGAATTTTCCAATCTGGAATCGTTGAAAATTCCTAGTTAGTAGTTAATATAGTTTAGAAGATAGAACTGCTCGGGTTATTTTGTTATTATGTACTTGGTTTTTTCATTTTATATTTTTTCGAATTTTGCGATTTGTAGTGATTGGAATTTTCTACTTTCTATTAGGTTTTCTCGTATCGAAATTCAGCTTATTTCTGTCCGAAGTAGCTACAATATTTCTATTTTGAAAATGTTCACGTTGGAGTTATTAGTAATTCCCAGCTTGATGTTATTGAAATTTTTCCTTTTTTAACTATTAGTCAACTTGAAGCGTTTTGTCGATAAAATGTTTCAATTTAGAGTTATTGTAAATTTCAAAGTTGATCTCATTTAAATTATTCGAAATATCAAATTTGATGTTATCGAAATATTTGAATTTGTATTCACTGTTAATTATTAGTTTGATGTGTTTGAAAACTTTCTGTTAAGAGCGATTGTTATATTTCAATTAAAAGTGACCGAAATTTTTGAAATTAGAATATCGTTTTTTTTCAGATTAGAAATTTTTAAGTTCTTACAATAAAAACGAGGTGTTTGAAATCCCCACGTTGTTAGAACATATGAATAAACATAATCCAGAATTAAGAACGACTCCAAGTGTTGCGTTGTTCTGTTCCCTTTGATATTAGTGGATTACCTGGGTCACTACATTGAAAGTCTTAGTTAAAACACTATTTATATTATTAAATTTCTAAATCTGGAATTTTCTAATTTGTAATCAGTGGCTCCTACTTCACTATGATTTAATATCATTTTCTAATCCTACGTGATTTTCATACATTGGGAAGTCATCTCTAAAGATGTTTCATCTTTGAAAATGTATTTGTATTTTACCAGTTGTGGAACATAGGGTTTGTTTAGTGAACCAAGATTGGTTTTTATACAGAATAATACTCCCCGCCAACTCCCCAGTAATATTTAGTTTTACAGTTCAGTTTGGAATTATAGAAATATTAAACGTCATAAACGAAGCTACTGTTTAAAATATTTTCCTAACTCCTTTAATGATTTTATCTCCCAAATTAAGACATTAAATATGACTGATTGATACAGGGTTTATATTGTAGCTATTGTCTGTTTATCACACGTAAAGTTTTACAAATATTGAGGTTTTTAATGAAATTTCACCAAACAAAATTAGCAACAAGAAAACTTTCAGACAGAAACTATAGTTTAACTGCAGTTGCTATATCTACTTTATTATTCATAAAGATATATTGAGAGACAAATTTGTATATTTTTATATACACAACAATACATCATACAACTTTCACGGAACTAATTCAACAAAGCAACAAAACACGTGCCATTGAAACCTAAGCCTAATCATTACCTAGGGCCAGGCTGGTTGCGAGTCGAGGTTACAGCAAGCAAGGGTTAAGACCCAACATCCAATCTAACGAACAAGGAATTAGTCCTGGCGAAAATCCTGCTGATACCAATATAGTAGGCTTGCCAGGTGGCGCTCCAGTAGGTCCTGTGGGTGGCTATGGTGTTTTACATGATCCTGCTCCTGTTGCTGCCCCCGTCCCTGTCGATGATCCTGTTTCAGTGGGTGGCTATGCTGTTTTACATGCCCCTGGTGCTGTTGCTGCCCCCGTCCTTGTCAATGATCCTGTTTCAGTGGGTGGATATGCTGTTTTACATGCCCCTGGTGCTGTTGCTGCCCCCGTTCCTGCCGATGCTCCTGTTCCTGTGGGTGGTTTTGCACCTGGGGCTATTTCTGCCAGAGAACTCTTTGAGGCTGCCAAATATGCCCCTGTTTCTCTCTCAAAGATAGGCGGTAATGCATGGTATCGCTAAGCTCTTAAAGTAGCAAAAAGATCCATATGTGGTCCTGTCTTTTAATTTCTCTTCGACTGGCGCGAAAACGGACCCCCATTTTAAAAACGGTCTGGAAATTCTGAGTCTAAATTAAACAGGAAAATATTTTTTTTTAATTTAGAGATTTTCTTACTTTCTGTTAACCCACCAAGAACCTGTTTTTAAATAAACTAGTGAGAGACTTTTATAACTAAAAAATATTCTAAATGACATTTTATCCACGATAATTGGCCTCATTCTAGTTCGGAATTTCTGGCTGGATAACTGTTGTATATATAAAATATGTTAATAATGTTCGTATCGTGTCTAGATTTGTTGGATATATAATCTTTAAGAATAACCCGAGACTTAATCTAGGATATCAGCATCTTGCTATACAACTAATCTGGTCAGCTATGAAGGTTGAAGTCCGAACTGAAAGCTTCTTTGAGTTAGACGTTATGCTAAAGCTTGCCTATGTTTTAATGTTTGTCTGCTTGAATGTAAAGCATTGTTACGGGTGATGTATTTCGTAGAGCTGAACGCTAGAGTTTTATGGTTATTGAAAAACTGCTCATATCGCACACACATTTGTAGAAATAATTACCGAATTTCGGAAAACACGTGCTGGTTTTGTCGCTGCAGGAGTGAGTCTGAATTCTTCAGTTTTTCATTTTATATTTACATCTATTCAGGATTTAAATATTAATTATCTTTTTACATTTAAATTATTTAATATAATATATTTCTTGTAATTTAAAGAAAAAAACGAAAGTTGTTTCAGAACAAGATTACACTTACTTCACTAAACGTTTCGTTCCTACATTTTCTTTAATACAACTGTTTACTTACACTGCTGCACTCAGAATGAGTATCAGACAGTATACTTTTACATTTGTTTTTACTTCAATATTGAAATGATTTTCACTATACCTTTTGGCTTCACACCAACACTTGTGTTGTTAGACATTGATGCTGTTTTATAATTGAGCTTTATATCAATGTAAACAATGCTATCCACGCTAACTTGTTCCTTACGTTCTATTGGTCAGTAGAGCAAATTTGAATGGTCTTTAGACTGTTACTTATTGTGAGCCTAGAAGTATAAGTAAGGGTCGCTCCTGCAGAAGTTGTACAAACAAGACTTTGAGTGAAATTGATATAACCTTGTTCTCGAGTTTGTGTTCGTTCTTTCATTATAAAACATGTCACTCTGGTCAGCACTTGGTATTATTTTACGTTTTAATTTAGTTATGTTTGAGAATCACTCCTAGCACTGAGTTTCTTATGACTTATAACATTTGGTTGATACAAAGCCATATGTTTCAATAATAGAGTAGATAAATCCGACTGACAATAGTTTCCATTGATAAAATGATTCTATTAAATCTAATGAGGTTTGGTCTAGAACATCGAAAAACGTATACCTAATTCTCTTTTCTTTCTTTCTTCTTTCAGCCCAGTCCCTTCTCTTTCATGTACACAGCAGAAGGTGATGGCAGCACAAGCTCTCGCTCAGAAAGTGGAACCGTGGGTGGTGAAATCACTGGTAGCTACTCTTTAGAGATTGGAGATGGACGAAAGAGGGTAGTAGACTATTCAGCTGGTCCTTCCGGTTTCGGTTGTTACATTGTAGTTAAGTTGTTACTCTGTTTGGGATAAAAGTCTGTTATGAACTGAATACGTTTAGGAGATCCAAAGGAGGGTTATGTTCATAGTTTGATAAATATTATTAACATTTTTTTACACAGGCTCTACCGTTCAACTTCATGTACAGTGCTCCTGCAGGAGGAGGAGCCAGCTCCAGGTCAGAAAGTGGAGATGTGTCCGGAAACGTGGCGGGTTCTTACAGTGTGGAGGACCCTGATGGACGTCGCAGGAAAGTAGACTACACTGCTGGATCTGGAGGATTCAGAGCAAATGTTCAAAGTAATGAACCTGGTGTGGAACCTGGTAGTAACCCTGCTGATGTAGAAATCAATACCTATGCAGGATTACCCATGATTCCTGCTAGTGGCCCTGCTGGTGCCCCTGCTCTTGTGGCTGCTGGTGTCCCTGAATTCGGTGTGGGGGTTAGTCTTTTTCTTTTATTTCTCGTTTATTATATGTCTTCAGATGGTTAATTTGAAGTTAATGGAGCGTTTTGTAAAGTTTTCTATACAAATACAAATTTGATAGAAATTCTCTATGATAGAAAGTCATTTTGGGAGTACCTATTGTTTTTGGATTCCATATCTAACCAGACATGTTTAAATGCAGAACACATTCACTGTAATTGTTCGCTTTTTTTCAGGGTCCTTTTGACTTTATGTACACTGCTCCTGCTGGTGGTGGATACAGTTCCAGGTCCGAGAGTGGAGATGGAGGAAGAAGAGTGAAGGGATCCTATAGTGTGGAACACCCAAGTGGGCAAAAGAGGGTGGTTGACTACTCAGCTGGAGATTTAGGCTTCACTGCAACAGTCAAGAGTAATGAACAGGGAATAAAACCCGGTGATAACCCAGCTAGTGTTTCCATCTTATCTTTACCAGGAGTTCCTGCTCCTGCTGCTCCTACTCCCCCTGCTCCTGCTGGTGCCCCTGCTGCTGAAGCCCCTGCTCTTTATTACTCAGAACATCTCCATCTAAGTAAATTATTTTTTTAATTATATCTAGAAAGGAAATGAACATCTTTCCCTAAAATAACTTTCAAAATCCAAATACAGATTGAGAATGTTTTATCTACACAGATACGTTAGGACAAAGTATAATATAAACACATTTTAACAAGATTAGTGACAGACCATTAAATATAAATCACGTGTTGGAAGACTGTTGATTACAACATTATTCAAATATTGTTTTCAAAGGGAAAGACAGTCGAACGATTTCAAAATATGAAGACGGTTTATTCATTATTATTGCGAGGATTTGTTACTAAAATACAAAATGTTTGGTAGGAAATCCTCGAATAGCCTACTGTATGAAAAGTTATTTTATGTAACGTGTACTTACTGCTCCACCTACGCCCGCATCTCCAGGGGCACCAGCAGCAGGAGCTCCAGCAGCAGGGGCATCAGCAGGGCCACCAGCAGGAATCATTGGAAGTCCTGCATAAGCATTGATTTCTACATCAGCAGGGTTACTACCAGGTTCCACACCAGGTTCATTACTTTGAATATTTGCTTTGAATCCTTCAGAACCAGCAGTGTAGTCTACTTTTCTGCGACGTCCATCAGGGTCCTCCACGCTGTATGAACCCACCACGTTTCCGGAGACGTCACCACTTTCTGATCTGGAGCTGGATCCACCTCCTGCAGCAGCACTGTACATGAAGTTGAAGGGTGCATACTATAGAGTAAAGACATGTTAAAAAAATTAAATATTCTTTCAATAATTTCAAGAAATGGTTTCATATATCTCAAAGTTTACGTTATATCTCTATCGTATTTCGTTATATTAATATTTTCACATTTTGAATGCACTAAAATTACGTAAAGTTTTCATATAGGGATTAAATTATATTACTTAAGCCTAATAAACCTAACATTGGGCAACAAATTCAAAACTATTGAGGTTACTAAACAATATACTGTTGCCCTTTTTTATAAAGTACTTGATTTAGTTTCATATTATGGAGAAATTAGATCATCTTAGTATTTAGCAACGTTTAATCTTCTTGTTGTTTAATGGGGTGGATATAATGATATCAAATCATGTTTATGGGGTGGATCTAATGATACCTTGTGAAAATCGAGATAAAACTTGGGAAACAGATATTCTTAGGTCAGGATCTATTGATGGTTTATCTAAATATGAAGATCAAAATCAAATCAGGTTTTTATCAATAAAAATTAATTTATTTGGTTAAATTAGCGATAATGTCATTTGTTTCTTTTCTTTATATACTTACAGCTCCTCCAGAAGGTCCACCAGCGCCACCTGCAGCACCAAAAGGTTCAGCGGCTCCTGCAAGAGCAAGAATGGAAATATCGGCGGGATCTTCTCCTGGGACCAATCCTTGTTCGTTGGTGTAGACAGTGGCTTTAAATCCTGCACCACCAGCACTGTAGTCAACCTTTCGTCGGCTTCCACCTGCATGGGTCAAGCTGTAAGAACCCATCACTGTACCGGAAGCATCGCCACTCTCAGTACGATCATGAGATCCTCCTGTAGAAGCAGCGGAGTACGTCATCGAATATGGGCTACCCTGTAAAGTTAATGAGTTTACTTTTGGTAAAATATGATTTTCTTCTTTTACTTTGTATTTTACCTAGAAGATTTCTTAAAGAAATAGTTTTACTAATCAAGAGAAATATAAGAAAAATTCAAAAATCACGATCATAACACTCCAACCTTTTTATGCTCAA